GCTGTTGGCAGGTCACTATTTTCTGTTCTCCTTATTCATATCCTCTCTAAACTCTTCTTATCTGACATCTTTCAGGACTGAAATGCTGGGGTGAGCACTGGGGTGGGGGAAGTCTGTCCCTTTCTCTGTCTACACCAATCAAACCCTAATCTTGCCCAATGTCACTGCATGGGGTCTGTCGTGATCAGGACTGATCCTGGACTGACTGGTCCAGAGCAGCAGCCTGCCTATCAGCAGCTTTTCTAGCTAATTGACAAGCTAATAGATAAGGCTGTCATATTAGCATGCCGGCAACTCCTCCCCTACAAAATTAGCTTGGATAATGATAATAATTACAGATGGAGTTTGAATCCTGTCTCTGCTGGCAATGGATGAAATTGGTTACTGCCTGATAGCTCTTTGTGGAGCCAAGGAAAATGAATTGATGGTCTCGGTTCAGTTCCTAAGACATGAGTTTCTACAGCACAGGAATTCACCCATGTGGGACACCTTTACTGCCAGTCTCAGCAGTGTCTTGGAAATGTGGACATAAAAGCTTGGCTTCCCATTCATACTGAGAGCTAGTCCTCACCAGGGAGGGCTGGACCCCAAATAGATCATGAAGTGGAGATTACTGTCTTTCTAGCCTAGACCTACCCAGAGTAACTTCTGCTGAGTCTGCAGAAAGGAGAGATATAACTTGTCCTGGTAGTCGTGGGCAGTCAGAAACAGAATCACTATGTGCCTGAGACCACACATTTTCAATGTATTATGAGCAGCCAAGGGAACTTTGCTTTTGTCTTCCTCAGCAACATAAGCCCTGACCAAGTGCACTGAAGAACTCATCCTGGAAAGCATTCCCTATGTAAGGCTCCACAAAGGTGCCGTACCACAGGATCCATCTCCGTTTCTGGTCAAGCTGGACATCCCTTGGCCCAGAAGGAATAAGTTTGTTTGCGAGCTGTTGGACATTATAGGGTGCATTTCCACTTCTTCCTGGGTACATCACTGGGCAGAAGACCACAGAGCAGTCCTCAATCTGGGGGCTCTGCTCTGTACCTCCTTCCAGTTCCCTTATTTCACTGATCTCTCCCTCCTCTTCTCTTCCCAAGGAGGCTTTATTTTTGGAGCAAGCATTTTGTCCAGTCCCCCACAATGCAATCCATTAGGGTAGGATCTGTTACCAGAGAGCAGAGCGCTGATGGTGTGAGACACAACAGAAACCAGTGCAGATGGTCTCCACTGTTATTGTACATCACACACTGCTACTATGCTGGGCTCTGGGTGGCTAAGAAGTTTTGGCAGAAGAGTGCAATCCCCGTTACTATGGCTAATATGGAAATGGCAAATGCTCTTGCGCTGCTGCAAAGTGACTCACAAGATCATGGCACAACAGATTATGCTCTTTGTCCCTACTACGTGTTGTGACACATTGCCATGTTCAATAGCTCTGCAAACTGAGAGACTAAAGGGCAGGCATTAATACACTAAAAGGTCAGATCTCCAAAGGGGCTCAGACTAGTGGAAGGGGAAATATTTACTCCCTTGTTATTCTGTCCATGCCAAAAAGTGCACTGTGAGGCATTACGTACAAGCTGAGCTTGGAGAATGTGAGAGCATGGCTTGCAAAGAGGATGCCTGCAAGGAATGGTCTTCTGGTGCTACTGCATGGATCTGTAGCCTGGGAAGAGCCATAGAAAAAGCTAATTCCTGCAGGGACTGGGGCTGTGATCAGAAACCTGGAGAGTAAGGATGTTTGACATACACTTGCCTCTGCCCCAAAGCCATGGATGGTTCAGTAGTCTGACTGAAATGACACCATGTGTATCCCTGGTCCAGACAAAGAGAATATTCAAAAAAGAGCACAGAGGAAGACAGGAAAAAAAGACTGAAACTACAGACTAAATACAATTATATGTTATGGACCTGTTTTCACAGTGCAAAGACTGTGGAGTTCTGGAGTCCTTTAGATGCAGCATCAAAAATATTATACTTAGACACAAAGGTGGACGTGTAGACAAACTGCACAATTAATGGCATTTACTTGGGTCTGAATGATGTGAATGTCATGCCTCCATAGATTTTGATTGTCCTGTTCTGCTATTTTCAGGCAACAAAGAACATTCTGCTACAGGATATAATGGTGTGAACTCACATTTGAGTTTTTTGTGGTGTATGAAAGAAAATCTGAGAGCAAAATTCAGGCTTTAAAAAATATATGGCAAGTCATAATCATAGCAAGACTATGGTTATGTACATAATACTGAAGCACACTTGGCCACTTTCAGAATGAGAGATACACCATAAAAGGAAGTTGTTTGGAAGATGCTGGCTTTGGATGGGGACTAACATGTTCTTTTCTTCTCTACAATGTTAGTGCAATTGCATGCTCTGCTTCAGTATTTCATTTCTACCCTCGTATTTAGAAACACAGACATGGAAAACTACAGGGCAGTGACAGTAACAGAAGAATGTGCGAAAAATCTCGTAATGAACAATGATGGAATAAGCTGCCCAGTGGTGAAAATTTCTTTCTAACCCCAAAGAATTAGTGGCTGGCTTATATCGTAAAGCATGAGAGTTTGTGTCCTTTTTGCATTTTTATCTGGTCTAACATGGCTGTGGATTTTCTCATTACCCATATAAATGTCTAATCCTTTTTTTTTTTTTTTTAATGCTGCTAAGCTCCAGGCCTCAATAAAGCCTGTGGCAAGGAGTAAAGTTTTGAACAGCGCATAAATGCTCATGAGAAGGAAGAGAATAGGATGGAGCTAACACATGGTGTGTCCTATACCCAAACTGCTACAAAGGGGCTTACTTTTAGGGTTTAATTACTAGTGGGGACAGGGCGAAGTAAAATGAGAGGTGGTAGTTTGGCCTGCCATTGTCCCTTTACACCTCTGCTATAACTTCAGAAGTCACTGAGTTGTGGGGAAGCTGAGCACCAATAAAGAGCAGTATATTGCTGAAGACACACTGAGATAAATCCAAACTCTTCATAAAGCAGACTATTTGGAAGTCAGCTTTACCAGCAGAAAGGAGCCTCTCTGTCTCCAGCAAAGAGGAGCAAGGACAACTGTCACCTTTCAGTGTGTTAGGCTGTTGGTGTTTGTGCAGGGACTTACTATGAATTGCTGGCTGATCAAGTCTCTCCAAAACTCAGTGAAAACCAGATTAAGGCCACTGACTTTTATATAATCATGGATGAAATACCTAACTGAAACCTTTCTTTAATTATGGAGGTAGTTGGATATAGTAACAAAAGCTGAAGTAATTAATATCATATTTTCTCTGATATTTGCAGTAATGTATCATGGAAGATTAGCTAAAAGGAGCTAGATAAACCAGAAAAAAAGATAGACCTAGAAATGGATGAATAAACAGAGAGATGATGGCCTGGCAAACAGGTGGATACACAGATAGATGGATAGTTGAACAGATGGCTGTATTTATATAACCTTAAAGACAGGGTGCTTTCTTGGTGCTGTGGCTGAGCTCTTTGACCATACTAAAGGCTACCTGCAATCTTCTGATGGCTCCATAAGCTTCCAAAATCTTCCCATGTCTCTAAGCTGTTACAAAAATGTACGTACATGCCTTACTTTTAGCAGAGTAAGCTCCTTGATTTGAATTCTGCTCAAAGTTGAATGCATGGCTAAATGTTTACAAAGTGTGTGCGGGAAGGATGATGAGTATTTTTCAATACTCTTGGTATTTCTGGGCTTTTTTTTTGCTGCATTCACAGGGTGGCTCTTTTCAGTGGCATTGTCTGAATTGTAGCTAGGTAAGACTTTTGTATTTCTATGTTATGTGATATTTTTCCTTGTAGCTCATAAAGACCCTTGTGATGTTGAATCTTCTGAGTTTTCAGGACTAGCTGAGATTGAAAGCATTTATTTTCTTAGGGATTTTGTGAACTTTTTGGCTGGAGCATCTGACTCAGTGTTTGATTTCCTAACAGACTAGATCAATCTATGAGTGCCCCAGGGTAAAATGCTCCTTTGTCAGCTCGTGGCTAGGATCAGTTGACTCAAATTTTTATTGTTGAGATTATTATTATTAGTATGTGTACAGCAATGTTAAGGAGTGTCTTCCTAGAAGAAGTATAGCTTGCAGGAGAGGGCTACCTCAAAACTTGAGGATGTTGAAAAAGTGCAGGTGCACATTAAGGACTTGTAAACTCTTGAGTTCTTGGTGCTTACGGTCTCAGAGTGTCCATATATTTATACAGATATAGAGGTAGTTATGTATCCTTTAACTTCCCCTATTCATCCCTGACTGGCTTGCAAAATCAATCCTTCAGTGCTAGTATCTTTTGAGCTTGTCATAGTTTGAATCCCAGCAGCAGTTCTCTGGTGATGTGCCACAAAATGGTGAACCTGAGCCCGTTCTGTAGCTATGTTAAAGGAGCTTCAATCTCCAGGCCTGGTAAGACAACAGGACTTGGACACAGTGAGCATTTTGGAGACCAACACCCACTGCCTGCACACATGGTCTGAGGCATGGAGAAGTTTGTGTCAGTAGCCACATGGATCCTCTGGACTTGTCCCCCCAGAGCAACGTGGCTGCAAGGGATTCTCAGCAGGAGATACCAATGGTGGGTGCTAGGAGATACAAATAGGCTTAGTACAGCTCCTTCAAGGCTAGCCAGCAGCAAGACACTTGGGAACACTGCTAGGAGATCTGCCAGAATAAACTGGCCAGGCTTTAGATGAAATTTTAGCCAAAGCAGAACATGCTGGGTATCCAGATTGTTCTTACCAGTCAATCAGCAGATGAGAACTCAATTCTTTAGTATAAGAATTTCCCACCTCCAACATATCCTTAATGTCTATCATCCAGATTTAAGTGGGCAACAACTGTAGCTGGGTAAGACTTAACTACACCAATGCTAGAGCGAGCCCTGATAGTGTGGGGTATAATTTTTCTGAAGTGGCTCATGCTAGACAAAGCCTGTGGATGTGGACAATCTTCCTAAGACTGAAGAAGAAGGCTGCGTCCACTGCATTGGTCTGGCTTACCTGGATAAGGGTGGATGCCATTAGCAAACACAGCTTCTGCGGCGGGCTGCCCATTAGCCTGGGGCGGGAGGCCAGTGAAACCATTCACCCCAATTGGAGATGGGATGCTAGGCACAGCTGGTGCAGTTATGCCAGGAGGCGTGCTTCCACCTGCAAGTGAGGATGACACAAAATCAGAGCTAGTGAGTACTGGAGTCAACAACTACAAGGAGAAAACTGCTGATACATCAGCTGTGACCACATAGAAAGCTTGTGATAATCCAAGAAATGAAAAATATCTCAAGCTGTTGTGTAAAGAAAAGGACTGCTTATCATTGCTCCTCTGCTTGGAAAGCACTCAAGAAAGGCTTGCAAAACTTTCTTCAACAGAATGAAGCTTTTACTGGGTTATCATGGTCTCTAGACTAGATCTACAGCTAACATTAAGCGATAGAAAACTATAGGAATACCACCCTTCTTCCTCAACCCTCTCTTTGGAATATTACCTTTTTAAATTCCTAAATAAGCAGACATTTCTTTCCTAGATATCATTTACCACCAGAAGCAAATCCTCAGTCCCACCTTTCTACAGCAGTTCTTCTCAGTTTCTCTTTGGAGACGTCAGCTTTGTTGGCGTACCAGTTTCCAGGACTACTCCGTCTCCATTCTCTCATGAATACACATTTAATACACAAACTCATTCTGAACTTTCTCAGCACCAGGGATCCTTAAAAGGTTTGGAAAGTTGGTTTGTAGCCTGAAGGCAGCCAGTGATACTTTTTTAAAATTTTCACTGTTCTGCCCAAACTTGACTTTGCAGAGTTTTAGCAGAGATCTCCCACTCAACAGGGACAAAATTTGGGCTAGATTTGTTTCTTCAATGGAATAATACTCCTCTCCTTCCCAGCTGCATACTCTGGAGGACTGCAATGCTGCTATTTCTAAAGAACAATGTAGTCTTTAAGTTTTGAGTGGGATCCTGTCACCCACTGGTAGAGAATTCTTACATTTCTGAGGGAAAACCTCATTGTCTGTTCCTAGGTATGTTTAAAATGACAGAGCAGTGTGTGCTTCTTGCAGCATACTCAGGATTTTTTTGGAGACCAAAAAATGAGCTTCCAATAACTATGAAATTTTATCTTTCTCTTGCTCACTGTAAGTGGAAAGCTAAACTATCTTATCTTCAGTAATATCTTTCTGTGTCAGGGTATACTACTGATTGAAAGCATCATTTTTGCAGTAACCTTTTTTTTAACCCAATTGCAGATTTTTTTTTTTCCACCATAGCAGCATTGCATGATGGGTCAGTCCAATAACACACTTTAATGACTGCTTAAATCTGTTGTTGCTTTAAGAAAGCCGATACAGATGCCTGAAATGTTTTAATATGTTCTGATTTGAGTAGCCCAGAAAGCAGGCAATATTTCAGCTCTTTTCCTATACCCTGAGCAGACAAGCTGCTGCTTCCCTTTTGCTTATTTAAATGGTGTTGGCCTTTAAAAACATCCTCTGTGGAAGTACAGGGAGCCAGCAGTGGCAACTGAAGTCCAAAGGCAATGCTCTTAGCATATGCCATCAGCTTGCAAATCACAAAGACTAGTTAAAATTTCAGTTGCTTTTCTGGATGTCTCCTTTATTTGCATAGACTATGTAAAAAATGGCAGCAAGGGATTTGGGCTTGCTATTTTGTACTTGTCTAAGGAAGTTTAGGTGTATTTATTGCAATTCTTTAATTTTCTTCTTATAAAGAACCCTCCTGGAGAGGTCATTATCTGTAGTTGGCGTAAAACTGGCATAATGCCCCTGCAAAGAACAAATGGTGGTGCATGCCAGTTGTGGATTTAATCCCTGGTTTGAGATCTATTGCTTCAAATACACCAGGTATAGATTTTCAACATGGAGGGAGGGAGAAGAAAAGGAAGGAAACCTAAATTAAATTTTATTTCTAGGCCCTCTGTGCAGTTAACAGAGTGGCAGACCCACTTTTTACGTAGTTTATACCAATGATGGGAGAAATGCAAAACTTGAACCAAACTTTCAGAGAAGTCAATTTAATTGCCCTGCAATTACAGACTGTTGCGTGAGATAAACCTGACTCTTGATAGGGAGCTGGCAAAATGCCAACAAACAGCATAAAATTTTTATGGTTTATATTACCCACTGGGGTTGCCTACTGTACTCCATTGACTGCAGACAAGCCAGGTGACCAGTTTAAACAAGATGTCTAACTTGTGTATGGTTAAAGCCAGGTGAGATGGATCCTGTCTCTATTCTGGTAGCTTTGTCTGGATCCAAAACTCTTTAAGTTCCTAGGTCTCATAGCTACTCATGAGCCTGAATGAACTCATGGCCATGTCCCAAGGAAACCACTCTCCTAGAGGTGGGATGCACGGAAAACCAGCTGGATTAGGAGGCCTGAAGATATGAGTACAAAGGCACTGTGCTCAGCCCACACCTCCAAAGCCTCTAGGACTTCTGGGTTACCAGTGTCCTTTTTCTAGCACAAATTTTCTTTAGCTTAGGAAAGATCAAAACACTTCTTTTTTTCTTTTTTTTTTTTTTTCCAATGTTCCAAACACTTTTTCTAATGCCTGTTTTTCAGAGAACTTTGAAATGTTTCATTTTCATTCCAAGTCAGAACAAAGATATACTTCAATGACTGGAAATCCTGCTATGAAACAGAATGATCATTTTCCATTTGGCTTTCTGAATGCTAACGAAAGCCAGCAGGAGAATTCACTTTAGGCTTCAGATATCTCCTGGCTACTCAGAAACCACTGCTAGTGTTGTAGGCTTGCTTGCTCAGACGTTATATGAAACATTTTCTATGCATCTTATCACAAGCTTTGTGAGTGTTGTATTACTACAATACTCACAAGTCGTTTCAAAATCTGAACATTTCACCCAAGGAATAATTGTCAATGGACATTTCCACAACCCGTTACAGAGGTTTTTCATGAAGGAAGCTAACCATTCAATGTAAATCTGCAATAATGCTGAAGTACACAGGCTCCATGATTGAAAATATGTCATAAGGAGAGTGCAAAATCTGCCACCATGAAAGAGATCAAAGGATCATCTAAACCAGGATCTTATTTTCAATAATGACCAGTCATGGATGCTCTGGAAAGCATGTAAAAACCATCAGCTTTCCTCTCCTGTATTCTGACAGCAAGAGTTTAACAGACCCCAAAAGGCACGAGGCACACCAGAAGAGGAGCAGAGCTTACACCAAAGAAGGGCAGAGATATAATTCAAATGCTGGATAGCATGACAAACACAGAATTTGGCTGTTGTGCTGGTATTTACACACCTATGTCACAGAATTTGCTCATTCTCCAGACTTATTTGTATGCAAAAGAGCTTGTCCTCTTTTGTGGTGGGGCCATCACAAACCACTGTCTGGATTCAGCTTTCCAGACCCTGAAAGCATTTGAATTCCAGGCAGTCTTTGTTTGACGTTCTCTCTGCTCCCACCAACACAAAACAAATCTAGCTATTGCAAATATGATAATCTTTCCAGCAGTGGGTTTAAAGGGTGCACATATAATTAAGCCACTTTTCTATTTGGATTTGCAGTAGCTCCATTGGCTTGTTTATACATTTATCGTTGGGTAAACATGTATTTTTAAATGTGTGGTATAAGATTTTTGAGTCAAGCACTTTTCCTTGGGTCTCCATAAGCTGGTGTGGAATGAGATCTGTCTTTCTTTCTCTTCCATTTTTTTTTTTTTTTTAAACCCTCATATTATAATACAAGAAAAGGAAAAGACAGCTATCTGATCCAGTAGCTGCTGACATTGTTCCCAGCTATATATTGCAAAGAGATGCTAAGCTGTGTGTGAACAGGGAGGTTTTCTTTGTCAGACAGGTTAACACAGGAATGGTCCCCAAGCCTGCACTGCCCTGCCCCGCAGAGTGTCTCAGCCATGAGACATCTTTCCTGGCTGCTTTGTCAGATAAACCTTTCCTGCTCCAAGGATGGTGCAGACCTTTTCATGTTCAGCCATGAAGCTACCCCTCTTTCTCTTACTGCTCTGGAATCCCAGGTCCACCTCTGCCTGATGTTGCCTGCACCACAGCTAGCTCAGGCACAGCTCAGTCCTCCCCTTGTCTCACTCCAAACCTTTGTGAAGCTGTTCACCTCTAAGTCACTTTGATGCTTCAAGGTTCACACAAGGACACTGGTATGCTACATCTTTCTGAACACAGTCCCATCTCCAGTGCCTCTCATAGGAACAACCTGCATCACCCCAGGGCCCCTTTTATCCCAACTTGTCTCTTAGAAATGGTCCTCTGAAGATGTACTTTTGAGTCCTCTCTTCCCCTACCAGACTCAGTGGTACATTGCAAAGCTCTCTAAATTCTCACTTCTTTCCTCTCAGGGTCTGGCCTCACTTTCCCTGCTGCCCTACTGCCCTGCTATTGGGCCACACAACATGCTGCTCCATGACTACCAGCTCTGTCAGATCCTTGACTTGTTCCTGCCCATATGACTTCCTTGTGCTTCAAGCCCCAGGAAAACCAGTCCTGTTTCCATCTCAGCCTAATTCTCTGCCCACTGAATCATACACTGCAGCTCTTAGCATGAGTACCTTGTGACACCTCACAGTTTAGCTAGATCCTGGCAGCCCTTCATTGACTACCTGTCTCTACTCTAGCAGTCAGAACCCCTCTCACCAAACACCAGAGGTCTTCCTTGAGTACCTCCTCTCCTATTTCATAGTGGGGGAAAGGCTTATGTGTCCCAAAGCCATAGCTCATCTTGTTAATGATATTGCATCTCACCATAAACCTTATTTTGTTTGTCCTTGGACCAGCCTGACTGTGACAGCACCAGCATTGACCCCTTGGACATCTATATGCACCACTGGTAAACCAGCGTAGGTCACTGGGGTATGTTTTGTGCCATTTGGAAGGTACTCAGAGCCAAAGGAAAGTTGTGTAAAGGATAAGCCTGATAGGAAAAGGTCATGGTTGAGAGACCTTTCCAGTGCCAGCACTCTGCCTCCTCCCCAACAAGCCCATTGCTTCCTGACTCTGGTGGGTCTCAACCCTCTTGTTATCCTTACCCACCAGGGAGTGCCACTTGGCACAGGGCAGAGCTAGCCCAACAGCCCATTGCTGGTGAGGCCTTTGACTTTACCCTCACAACTATTTCATGACAGAGCTGACCTGCAGCTGGCCCCATCCCTGGAAGAGGTGGTAACAGCCTTTCTCTGCCCCTTTCTCCCTCTCCCAGACCACAAAAGAATCACAGAATTGCCTAGATTAGAAAAGACCTTTAAGATCATCGAGTCCAATCATTAACCTCACACTGACAAGTCCCCGACTAAACCCTGTCCCTCAGCACTATGTCTACATGACTCTGAAATCCATCCAGGGATGGGGACTCCACCACTGCCCTGGGCAACCCCTGCCAACACCTGCGAACCCTTTCAGCAAAGAAATTCTTCCTCATAACCAATCTCAACTTCCCTTGGTGCAACTTGAGGCCATTTCCTCTTGTCCTATCACCTGTTATTTGGTTGAACAGACCGACCCCCACCCCTCTACACCCTCCTTTCATGTAGTTATGGAAAGTATCTTCTCATCTCCACTCTTCACTTCTGATGACCTTCACCAACAAGACCGACATTTCAGTAAACACATGCTGGGGGAGAACCTGCCAGCTAACATCTCTTGACAGGTCTCCTGTGGGATGTGGCCAGATTTTCTCACCCTTTGCCCTCTCCACCCCCCGGCCCCTTACCTGAGGTTGGTGTCATGGGGGCGGCTGCCAGGCCGTTCATGTTCAGAGCCGCCATCTGCTGCATCTGGGCCGCAGCAAAGGCTGCCATGGGGTTCAGGTAACCGCCCTGCGCCACCGACGCCATGATCGCGGCTTGCTGCTGCATCAGCTGGAACAAAGAGAGCAGGGAAAAAATATCACGCAGTCACTGACAGGGCAGCCAGCAGCACTGGCAGCAGGATCATAGAATCGTAGAATGGTCTGGGCTGGAAGGGACCTTAAAGATCATCCAGTTCCAACCCCCCTGCCATGAGCAGGGACACCTTCCACTAGACCTGGTTGCTCAAAGCCTCATCTTGTGGCCTCAAGGCCTCATCAAGTGGCCTTGAACACGTCCATGGAGGGGTGTCCACAGCTTCTCTGGGCAACCTGGTCCAGTGTCTGACCACCCTCACAGGAAAGAATTTCTTCCTCATATGTCATCTAAACCTTCCCTCTTCCAGTTTAAAGCCATTACCCCTTGTCCTATCACGACCTGCCCTTGTAAAAAGTCCCACTCCAACCTTCCTGTAGGCCTCCTCAGGTACTGGAAGGTCACTAAAAAGTCTGATTTTTAGACATGGGGACTCAGTGAGGAATCCCTGTTTTGAGATGTCAGCTCACCACACCTGTGGTAACCCCCAGCCTTTGGTCTTCCTTCCCGCTAGAGAGCCTAGAGGCAAAGTGCAACTTTATATCTTGGGGTCTTTGTGGTCCCCACCCATATGATGTGTTCCCCAGTGTGGAGGTCTCCCTCTGAGTTGGACTCAATCTTCTGACTCCCTAGTACTTCCCTGAGAAAAGCAGAGAAAAGTCTTTATATGATCCTGAGCAGAGAGGTTTCATGGCTCACATTGCTTGTATCAAAGAACTGGGAAAGCACTGGTGGCTGCTGATGGGAGACCAGTATATGTGGAGTAGTGGGGAGAGGGGATCCCTTCTCCCGCACAGCAAGCTTAGCTAGTGCTCAGGGGCTAAAGCAATTTGTTTCCATCTGTCAATGGCAAAAATAATATATTTTTTATGCTGCTGTGCGGCTTCTGGTGGGCACTGAGCAAAATTATGATCAAACCTTCTAACTAGATTGTAGCACCTAATTCCAACACAACCAAGCAGAGAGTCCTGGAAGAGCTGTACAAGAGAAGGGAGCCCCACTACTTTAGCAAGAATAAGACTGCATAATGGGAAAATCCCTTCCCTGGGATTTTTCTTTTTCCAGAAAGTGCTCTTTCAGGGCACTTACAAAAGGTAGAAGGGAGGAACTCAGGCTATATTTTCAGGCATTTGGGAGCAATAATTCTGGAGCAGAAGGGTGGTGAATGGTTATGTATACTGTCAATGTTTCTTACATTAAAAACAGACTTGCTATCATTATTTTAAACTCTGAACCTAGCACACAGTTGGTACAGCTCATATGTACAGTGTGGCTTCAGTGGGTTTGTAAAATGCTCCTGGTGTGAAGGAGAAGATAGTTTGGCTAAAGCTGCCTCTTCTATCCCTCCCTGGAGCTCCACAAAGAGCCAGATGAGCTAAGTCTGGGTCTGTATCCAGCCCCTGTTAGTCACTGATGAGGGAGGTTTGGAGAAAGTGTGGGGGAAAGAGGATGAGCAGAGAGCGAAACCTCACTCTGTTCATTCCCCAGTCTCTGGTAATGCGTGACTTGATGATAATAGTGGAGAAAGAAACTGTTTTTCTGTAGTGATTTTAGAAGTGACTCACGTCTTTGCTGTCTCCAGAATTGGAGTTCTGCTGCTCCCTGTGATTTTTCTCTCTCTCCCATCAGAAAATCACCCTCTGATGCTGTTGTTTAAGCACACAGGACATGCTTCTCAGCATTAAACAGACCTCAAAAGTCAGGGCAAGGAACAGACTGTTCCCTACTCTTTGGTTTAATATTGAAATATCAGCTAAATCAACTGTTCATACACATACATACTGAAACAAATCCTTGAAATCACTGCACTGATTCAAATGCTGTAACTTTCCTTGTCACTATTGGTAAAGAGACCAAAGTAAAGGATGCTTTGCCACTGACCTGCTGTGTAACCATGCACAAGTTGTATAAACTTGCCTTGGTTTCTTCAGTGATAAAACGGAACAAGATACCTGCCTCCCCACGTAGGCATGCTTCAGATCTACAGATAAAAAGTGTTGTACTAGAGTTGAGTATTATTATTTTTTGAAGTCTAATGCAGAGTGGTGGCAAGGTGGTGGCTTTCCCTTTGATTGTTAATTACCCTTTTTTATTATACCCTGCATAAGACACTTTCACATTTTAATTAGTGATATCCTGTTCTTTGTAATTACTGATGGAGTGATTAGAAAATCTTTTCTATTATAGCACAATGCTGATTCCCCTTTAAGGAGCACATTTGTTTCTAGGCATCATTTGAGTTTATTCTCCAGAGGCAACACTGAGCAGGTAATTTTAGTAAGTATGCCAATGAAGCAAATGAGAAAGAGGGAATCCATCCATCTTTAACACTGGATTGACTCCCATACTGGGTATGCTGACTCGTATCTCAGTTTTTGTGCTGGGTATTTCACCTGGGGACAGATGAGGATATAACTGGCCCGTTGCAGAAATGATGGTCAAGATATGTGCCTGTAGGTTCTGTTTAGCGCTGTTGATCAAACAAGCATCTCTGAGATGGACACAGTTGCAAAAGCTGGGGATAGTCCCAATCTGGTCTTTTCTCATTTTCCTCTGTTTCTCCAAAGCTGACCAGATCTGCATGAACAAACCCCCCTCAAAACATGGAGTGACATATGGCTGCTGATGTGTGTGCCACGGTCAGTCTGACTGGCAGACAACAGCCTGCTATTTGTAACACAGACCATCTAGGGCAGGCAGGGGACTATTTTTTTGGCATTTCCCTTTGTCAGATTCAGTAAACTAAATACAGATGGGATTTCCTCTGAGATGGTCACCTAATATGGTTAATGTGATAACAGGCAGAGGAGTCTAGGCCAAGATTCATCTCTCCCTTCTGTACCCAAATGCCTCTGGGCAGACGAATTGCAGCTTTGTTTCTCCTATTGACTGCATGTATTGCTCCAGGTGATCAGCTTAGCCCCATGTACCAACAATCAGAAGAAATCATTCCCACCCCTTACTTGTCCCTCAGCACATATTTCTGGACCTTGGCTCCCAACCATTTAAAAGAAAAGTGTTAATTTTTTTTTTTCGTTTGCGTTTCACCTGTGCTGCAAGAGAAACAGGGCTCTATCTAAAAGACACTGCGTTGCCAATGGAAGTACAAATGATTGTGCTGCTCCAAAGACAATCTCCATTTTGCACTCAGCAGAGCCAGGCAATCACTTGTGACATTATTTATGGCTTATGCAACTTCTTTTCCTGCTTATGGATGTCTCTAAGCTGTTCGGAGTTAACTCCACAATGACAGGTGCTCCTCCTGGTTTGCAAACCAGGTAACCTGAGTGTGCAGCTTCTTGTGTATTCAGAAGGCTTATAAATTTGCACTGGAAGATGCATTTTTCTAGATTATACCTTGGCTATATGCATACTCCTTTTTCGCAAAGTCATTCATGTATTTCTGTCACAGACCTTCAAAAAGAAGGTATTTTCTCTCTCCATGTAAGAAGAACAAAATTATTCTAATCTGCCGATTAGTGCTGAAGGTGCAGGGTGTGCAGCCTAAAGCCTGGTGAGTTTCAGTGAAACATTTGCTTTAAAGTGCCCATACTTCCACATAGACTGAATTAGGAACTTGAGGAGTAAGGAGGTTAAATTTAGCTTAGGTTTAAAGGCTAATGCAGTAAAAATAAGGTAGTAATTAAGGCCCTAACCTTTGATTTTGGAAACTAGGTTCAGTTGCTTCTGCTACAGTAGGCATCCTGCATGGAATGTCCACCCCATTTCTGTTATGCTCAGTGCTCTGGGGATGGGGATACACAACGTGCCCTGCAGACCTGGTGACATGAGCTGTGTCCCTGTACCTCATGACCCAGAGAACGTACACCTCACTGCAGCCTTCAGAGCCAACCCATGGAGTAAACCAAGGTCTCCTCCAGAGCTGTAAGGAGCATAGCATCCCATACCTGAACACAGTGACGTTCTTCAGCCAAGTGGCTTTGCTTCCTTGGCTAGAGAGGAGACCCTAACCATGTCCCAGCCATGTCTGGACATCTCTACCCTTGGCAACCCTGCAGTCAGGTTTCCAGTTCATGCCTTCCTCTCTCTGGTAGGAATTGCTCAGGGGTAGAGGTTAAAGGGGAAGGGGAGGGGTGTCCTTTCCAGCCCAGTGGCTGGTGGTCACAGCCCAGCCTATTGCAGCGGCATTGTGGGGGTGGAAGGACGGGAACTCGGTCACCTTGAAAGAAGCTGACAGCATAGACCTACCTCCTTCCTCCCAGGGTGGCTCCAGGGAAATTTACAAAGGAAGACAAGTCCTGTAAGGGTCATCAGTCTCCCTTATAAAACCTCTGGGGCATTCCCAATAAAAGCCACTCCACTCCTTGCCCAGCTCCCCCTGAAGACAAATGTCTCATCCGCTCTCCTTTCACTTTGAAAGAGGCCCAGTGTATGGTCCCAGTTAATAAAGCTGTAGAAAGTGAGGCAGTGACCCCACCAGAGGCAAATCAATAGCAGCAGAACCCCTGGGTATTGTGTACTTTAAAATATGCCATTTGAAATGCAGATTTTCCCTGCCTGGGTTGGGGCCACAGAGCACTAATCAGAAAGGCAGCAGCCTTATTATCTGAAACTGATCCAAGGGGATGGAGAGGAGTTTTTCCCTTTCTCAACTTAAAGGACATATTTCCTTTTGCTTCTCTTACTTCCTTGACATGAGAGGTGGGAGCTAGCTCAAGTTGAGGTGGTTAAACTTCAGCCAGCTGAATGGAGGGATAGGCACCTCCACAGGCTTATCCATCCTATCCTAGCATGGGAGATCGAGATAAAAACCAGAAAAGGGTGAAGTTTTGGAGCACAACTACACCAAAGCAAGAGCTTACTGATGCACATTTTGCTCTCCACGTCTTGCTGCTACCTTTGCACCAGGACAGATGCACGCCCAACACTGCAGAACACCAGCTCAGGAACAACCTCAGCAGAGCGTTAACCATACAGCACAAATGTGGTTCTTACTAACAGTTTTCCTCCCAGAAGTGGGTACCTGTGTGGTCACTGTCAGTCTAGTGGGTTGGGGACATATGGCCAGAGGTGGGGTTGGGAATGGGATGGTTGGTTATGGCATCAGATGGCTGTTAGATGGTGAGGTTGTGCAACTGCACTCAAGGAAAGGAAACACTGTCCTTTTCTTACAAGAGGAACAGATGCAGGAGAGATGAAGTGACTTTCTCAAGGCCAAAACCTGCTAGAAATAGGACAAGGATGCTACAGCCTGCCTTCCCAGCCCCCAAAAGAAATACATGTGAAACTGAAGAAGGGGAAGAGGAGAGAGAAGGATTATTTCTGATGTGCTTTTTGAAATAGCACAATCATTGCCCTTGGAGAAAGCTTACTCTGAACGATCTGATGACCTTCTTATTTTTTTCAGTGTTATTGTCTATCCTTGTCTCTGAACCACATGATGTTTTGTTTGACTTTTCATATTCTTCATTCAGTGATAATAATAAAAGTAATAACAGCATCCCACGCTTCCCACCTTTAACGATCTATACAAACACTTAGCTAATTAATCCTCATGGTATCCCTGTGAAAGAAAGAGGTAAGTAAAGTGATCAATCAAGCAGTAAGAGGACTCATATTTGGTAAAATCACAGAATTGACAAGTTCACTTCTGTTTTACCTAATTGGCCATTGGGAAATAAAAACAATCTCCCAAGCCTTCAAACAAAGAGAAGATATTATGTAAAAAAATCAGAATAGTCCTTCAGAAATTTTTTAATGTCTTTCTTGGAAAATTTCTGCTTTGAAAATAAAATTTAAATTAATTAAGCTTTAAAAAAACCACAAACAAATGTGAAACACATGGATTTATGCACCTTAGTGTCTTTCTGAAGCCTGATACACATCAGTTTGGATTTCTAGCTTCTTGAGAACTGAGGAAAAAACTCAAAACCTGAAAAAAATAACCAAAAATACGTATATATAGCCCAAATCTGAGTGTTCATTATTTCTGAATTACCAGGGAGCTGATGATCAGAAATATGGTATTAGCCCTGCTGTAAGGTATTATGGCTTCAAAATAGCTTCCTCTTCTGGAACAGATTGGAACAAGTGATTTGCATAACTGGTAGTATTTACCAAATATACTGTCCCATTTTGGTCATTTAAATATAATAACTATTATATGCAGAAGATGATAGCCTATATTCAGTAAATTTTCACTGGTTTCATAGGGCTAGCTACATTTTTTTAAGTATCTTTCCAAAATAATTTCACAGTATGAATTGAATAAATATTGGGAGAAACAATTCTTCCCTTCGGCTCTACCTCAGATCATTTAACCGAAAAATCCCTCCATCTCCACAGGAGCTGGGACAGGGAGGCAGAGGGAGGCACCTGGGCTTTTATGGTCAGCATGGTAGTCACTATTGCCCTAACTTCCCAAGGTGACCACTTATGACCATGACTGAGAGCTTTGCTGTACTAGATTCCCAGAATTGTTGCAGTTATTGTCTGCAGTTCAGGAGCTGCAGTCATTTGTACTTTTTCAGAGTGAGGGGAGCTGGGATTTACTGACAGGAAAGGACTTGCTCCAGGCCAGAGAGCAAATGTTACCATTGCCTATGTTGCCCCTGTCCCCATCTGTCTGTTTTTACTCACTAAATCTATGCCTGTCCCCTGCTGCAGGATGCAATCAGTTCCATGGCTGGAATTTGTCCAGGAGACCATGGCTAACACTCCCACCCATTTTTTATGCAAACTTGATTTATGACTTTGATCTTATTTTAAATAATTTAAAAATTAAATAATTTATACAGTATCTGTCACTTTCCAAGACTCCTTCCTTTGTTCTTGCTTTGCTCTTCTGCATTTACCCATCTTCCCAAACCTTTTCAATCTGTGTATGTTTCTTTTTCTGCACGGTGGAGCAGTAGGGACATGAAACAGTCACACTCCCAGCAACTTTCTTCATAGAAAGAAGACCTGCAGGAACTTTTAGAACTGTTGCTTATTTGGGCCATACTGCCACCATTCAAAATCTGGTTTGATTTTTACTGCTAGTGATTTTGGACTTGTCCACCCCATTGCTTAGCAGGGACTAAGAAGGTGTGCTGGGCTCTTGTGAGCTGGAGTGTGTGCCTGCAGGTTCCTTCTCAACTGGCAGCAAATAAAAAGTAGTGCTACTTAGCATCAGTCTCCTTCTCTCCAGGCTGAGTTCAGATCTATACCTCAAGCTGGCCTTAACTGAGACTGCAGAAACAGCTATCATTACCAGGCTGATATAGATCCACAGTAACCTGGCAAAAAAAAAAAAAAAGGCTGGTGCCCTACACATGTGTGAACGAAAATAAATTATTGCCCCATAAAAGGGGAAGTTAAATGAGTATGGGAAAATATTGCTGAAAATAAAAAAACCTAAAACAATCCAAAAAACCTGAAACATATTGGTATAGGGCCTCTGGGAGATTCAGGGAACCATGAAACCTGACTTGCCTTGGGCTGCATACAAAAGAGGTGAGCTGCGTCTGACATGACTTTCTGTGTCACTGGAACAGCTCAGAGTTAGTGCCAAGCTTCATCTGCTCTGCTTGCAGATGGCACATGAGGAAGGGAGGCAAAAACAGACACAGGGGAGAACCCCCTTTGCCTCCTGATTTTTTTACCTGTGGATCTGAGGCCATATGTCTGCTGATCCCAAGGATTATTTTCTTAGCTGATGTGAGCTTGTCACTGCTACCAAGGTTAAAGTTGCTTCAGCTGAGGTTGAGTGGCTTGGCAGTGAGCAGCAGCAGGGAGTGAAGTGTAACATGTCCATTTGCTGAGCTGCAATGGAGGTAACTTCAAGAGGAGCTGGGGCCCAAAGCAGTCCTAGTGGCAACGCTAAAGACTATCAGTCAAACACTAATAGACTGAGACTCTTGCCACCTCTCCTCAGTGATGCTGCTGGGTTTGAAAATCCACAACTGTCCACTAATCTCTCAAACAGCTGCACCATGTGGGTTTCTGCTGCACTGACCACCTTGATGCATCGAGAACTTTTTGCAGGAGCCAGTCTGGTCCCAGTGACGTTCATGGTGACTCTCTGAGGGAGATTCCATTAGAAACTGCTGCCTAGGGGACTTGTCAACCTCCTCCATGGGGACGGACCATTAGAAATTATTAATTAACCAGATCTCATGGGATTACTTGGAAGCTCTTATATGGCAACATCAGTCAAACTTGGACTGCAGTGGGATATCTGGGAGGACAGGTTACCAGTACAAACCAGAGAGCCTTGTGTCTGATGCCTGTCCTGATCTTACTACTAAGTGTTGAGGCAATTCCTAAACTTGTGTTACCATTGTACCCCTGTGTGAAAACCCATGGAGAGACGGCACAAGAGAGAGCTGTGTCTCTGAGGAAAAAGGGAAAATAAATAAGTCTGATCATCAGCTTTGTTTGTACATGGGGAAATGAGACTGGGGGTCAAATGATTCACCCAAGGTCACACGAGTTGCTGGTGGCAGTGACATCAGCTGTCACTACTGTCCTGCTATTGCATTTTCACTGTTTCACCTTTCCTCCTGTTGACTTGCCTTAGCTCAACTCCAGTTTGGACTGAATAAAATTGCCCCCCCTTTCCCTCTCCCCCTATCGATCCCTCCATCTCCCACTGGTATTTATGAGGTGCCAATCACCCTGATATCTAAGAGCCAGCAGTCCGAGGTGGATTAATCGGAACCGAGGGAACGTCACACAGCCTCGGCGCTCTCTTCCTTCCCTTTTGTGTGAGACTGTGAGATGAAGCAGATAGGAAGAGACGCAGATAGGGAGGCTGATTGAGAGACAGCATCTGAGCACACTCTGGGTGTACAGGCGCCACACAGAAATGTGATCCCATCATTTAGACAGCTCTGAAGTCCCCAGGGTAATTGGTGTCACCAGCTTGTCATATCCAATGGGTCAAGATCTAAAACTTATTCTTTCAACCTTATTAGCATTTTTTCCAGAAAAAAAAAAAAAAAAGAAGAGAGGATGGGTCCAATTCTACTTTCACAGAAATCAATAGGAAAAATATTCATTGGTTTCAAGTGGAGCAGGAGCAAACACGGGAATTGTTTTCAGTCTTCCTTCAGCAATAAATCCTCACTCAAGCAACTACTTTCAAAAGGTGCCATATTATTTGGTGAGAAATAGAGGGAACTTTCATGGTGTAAAACTGCAGATTGCATCCTCTTTTATACCAGTATAAACCTAGGCTGTCAATTAGAAGAATTACTCTAGAATAAAATTGAGGCAAGAAGAGATTTTGGACCAGAGCATCGGGACAGTGGTGTCTTTTCCACCTCTCCAGCTGCCTGATCCATGCCTGTAGCATAACACTGGAGCCACATCTCCTTCTTGACAACCTTTGCAGATGTTTGTCCTAAGCTGCCCAGGGGTTGCCTCTTGTTAATTCCTCTGGTATATGGGGGCACAGATGCTTCATCTGCCTGCCAGGCTGCTGGCTACTGACCTAGGCTCAGCTGTGATTTACTGTCTCTTTTCCTCTTCCTGCAGCCTTCCCTGGCCAAGAGGACTTTTAAACACAGCCAGGCTGGGCAGGGGACAGCTCTTCTATCATGTGAGGAGCGGAGCAGGGGACAAAGGAAGGAAGAAGCAAAGATGTTGAATTCAAAGTTGTGTTTGAATTTGACAGTGATGGGTTAGACACCATTGGAAGTATCTGATCACAATATGCTTACTGCTAGAATTGACTATTGACTTGCTTGGAAGATGCTCTTGTCTGATGGCATGGCTTAGTTTGCTCTCATGATATAGCCAGTTTAACAGAGAAATCATTGATTTCTCCTCTGCTCAGTCATTCTTCTGCTCATGTATGTTTTTGTGCAGTTCCAGGCACTATTCCCAGTCTTGTGAACACACATAGAGCCAGTGTCTATACTTACTGCCTGTGCATAGGCGCCATATGCTCCAAACTGGATGGCCATGGGGTTGAACATCCCCATTTGTCCTGCCATTTGCTGCATGCGTCTCATTGTACGCTCCTTGTCTGTATCTGCAAACTTCACCACCAGGCTTGAAGAGGCTCCCTGCAGGACAGGAAACAAAAGGAGACACACAAGGGAATAAGCCTGTTACACATTGACTCATGAAGTCCATACATATAACATGGATTTGGTAGCATGAGATCCATCTGACAGTGATTTTTTCCATGCAGTCTCTCAGGTCTTTTGAATTGGACCTTTGCAAGAGGTTGAGAGCATCAGGAAGGAAATAAAGGACCCTGGAGGATGAATGACTGAGTCTAGAAGCTTGGTTCCTAGTTTCCTCCAAAATTCAAACTTCCAGGCTGTCATTAATGTTCTCTTTGCAAACGTTGTTGCCTTATTCTTTCAACATATAGAAAACCTTCTGTCCCAGAAGGTTGTCCTCATAAGAGGACAAAGATCAGGACACAGTGGAGCAAAATGTAGGAGGTTTTGCTGGATGAATGTGGTGGGATTTGTGAACTGATTTATTTTGATTAATGTGTTAGCTCTGTGCATGCCAGACCCCTTGAGCTGGATCACCCTTTCACACTGTCATGTGTTGTAACCCACATGTCCAGTGAGAAATCACTGCCTAGCCTTGGAGATAGGATTCAGTATGCTGAGCAGAGTGTATGTCTCATCATGAAGCAGCATCTCTTTGGCATTGTTAAGCTAGGTGAGCAAACATAATACCTGATGGACCTGAATTTCCTCTCCATGAACAGTAGGAAATAGAGGCTACCACAAAAAAAGCCCATATTTAATCTTACACTTTTCTAGGAAGACTTTACAAAGTTTGGGTTATGTCTGCAGTCAACATTGGTGCAGAACTACAGATGATCATCAGAGCTGGTTGCAAAAGTCTGTGAAAAATGTGGGGCTTTTTGGAATGCAGCTTCTCCTCCCCAAAATGAGATGAAAAGTCAGTAACTGCGATTTCTGATAGGAAGCAGACATGGGAAGAAATAGATTTGCTTAGGAAGGAAGGTACTGATATTTTTTGGCTGGTTCCAAGGATGTCCTAACTTCCTGGGTGGGTTGATTCCCCACAGCGCAGTCTGCCCAAGGGAAGAGGGGTGCAGGGGAGGTGGGATCCAGTAGCAGCAGCCCCAACAGCATGCAGACAGTTGCCTCGGGAGCTGGGCAGTCACTGAGCCTGGGGAGAGGGCAGGTGAGCTGTTGGGAGACAGACAAAGAGCAGCTGAATTCATCGCGCTCCCACGGTACGCTTCCCTTTTGACACACTGATATTCGCTGGTGGAAATACAGTCAGTGGGAAATTGCCAGCTCAGCCTCTGGCATGGCAGTAGAGGCAGACCAGCTCCATGCCAGAGGAGCTGGGTTGTTGCGGGGCGCTTGTTTTCCTAGTGGAGGTAGGATTGCTTGGGTTTGCACAGGGGAACTGTTATTAACTGGTTACACATATCCCTTTGTACCTGTAACCAGAAAGAAGTAGTCACCGTGTAAGCAGAGTTGCTCTGTTGCAAATTGGGAATAGCATAGTAAACCAAAACTATGGATGTACATATATATAAGTCCAAGCTATGCATACTCAATAGCTTCTCCAGATCCTTGGTTATGAATAAAGGCTTGAGGAATTAACTTTTGAAAAAAAAAAAAAACCCAGTCTAAGTCCACACAATGAGCAATATTCCCCTGGATTAGCAGCCTGTTCTGGGAGGAAGTGATTTTCATTGGCAAAGAATCTTTCTTTTTGACCTGTTAGTCTCTCTCTAATAAATCTATATCCCACTCAAACAATGTGGTAAAGAGCAAGGGGTTGAAAGTAGTGCTTCGGGAAAACAAAGGGATGGAGAAACAAATGCTTTATTCAAGGGGGGAGAGCAGTCTTCAGAAGTTATTGTAAGAGTGAAACAGAAAGTGAGGCAAGGGAAGAAAAAAAAGCCTAGCGAAAATTCCCCTGCATTTCTGCTCAAGGCTGGGCAACTTTTCATTTTTTTAAATCACATGATATAGTTATTGATCTTTCCCCAAATCACACTCTTAATTGCAGCTCATCGACAAATGAATATTTTAATGCATACATTTCCTGCTAATTATCACCTGGACCAGTCCTTAATTAGATTTCAACATTCATTTAATTAACCCTGATCCAAGAGACTGTTTGGTAACCTGAGTGTAATGATTTAAACCTATTTGCAGCTGTATTGAAGAGAGGCACTGGTCCACAGCAGATTGGGCTGTTCAGAGCTGTTGTCGTGTTTGCAGAGCAGAGGCTGCATCATGGTGGGCATAATGCAGCGTGGAGGATTTTGAAACTGCATAAGGTGAATTAATCTCTGCAAATGGGTTTTGAAGATGTGACCTGCTTTAGTTAGCAAGACAGAGAAATATAAATAAGTTGGTATCTTCTTCCTTTCCCTTTTTGTTCCATCTCTATTTGCCCTGAAAGTCTTGGGGCCAGAGAACTGCCTCAGGAAATAGCTGATGCCTCGCGCTGTTGAAAACCAAGCTCCTATTGTAGATAGCATCATGAAAACATGGGTAACCTCCACAAGAAGTTCTTGCCCCTGGAGTGTTCTTCCTTCCTGATGTGAGTCATAGTGACTGCACAGCAGCCGTTTGACCCAATGGAATCTAAGACTGCCTCTTACGAGATGTTTTTATGGGTTGCCTGTCACAGCAGGATTTCGAGCCTCTTTGAACATCACTATCATATACACAGGGCAGAAAGGTCATTGGCAAATAGAAGCAAGTTAGAGCACACACTACAAAGAAAGAGGAGAAAAAGGAGGGTTTTTTAAGAGTGCTCTGCAATGAGATGCGCCTGTAAGCGGTTAAAGCTATGTATCCAGTAGAGATGCTGCCTAGCTCTTGCATATGAAGATTGACCTTGGGATTGATGCTTTCTGTATGTGATTCCTCATGTGCAGCCCTTCCACGTGGCCCAAAGCAAATCAGGCAGTAAACTCTATCAGATCACCCAGTGTGGGATTTTCAGCAGAGGAGCCAAACAGTGCTGTTAATCTACAGCAGAACAAGACTACTTTCTACTCCACTGCCTCCTACAAATCCACTGGATAACATTAGAAATGCCCCAGGACAGGCCAGATTTTCCATGGGGTACAAACTGCAGAGCCCTTCGTCTAGACTATTTATTGCTTCCGCAAGCAGTTAAACCATGGTGTAAATCAGCCGTTGTCTGCTGACAAAGGCAATAGGTCCTGTCTGCTCGGTCATTTATTAGTAATACATAATCTCCCTCTTGCTCTCTCTGGTTGTTGGACTGGACCTTATATTTTCCCAGCTCCCAAGAGAGTTACAGTGGGTAAGTCAATAATGTTTGAAATGTACTTTGAGATGTGTGTTAATTCTGTTTTTTTTTTTTTTTTTACTGAGTGAAGGACCTGTTTATTTCTCTACCTTCCAGATCCA